AGTACATACAGTAGTGACACTGAGCGTCGGCACCTTTGATGTAATGGGTCCTAGGTCACGAACTCGCCGCCATCTTCTGAGCTGTACGAACGCTTAAGAGAGAATGAGAGGGAAGTATCTTTCTCTTTGTCATACCTACATACAGGCCGCCATATTCCTGGTACGATAAAATTTATTACCACCAAAAAAGTTCAGTCTCTCTACTGTGTATTACTTATACTGCGACTCTAAGGGGTTGCGCACAATAAAAGAAATAGGGAACAGTTCAATATTAATATATGTAATGCATTAACATATGTAATTCATTAACACAGAATAGACGAACAGTTAAGAAACGTTAAGAAACAGTAATGAAATTTTATTCTATATTCTGCATGCCATGTGAACAATGCATATGTTAATATTAAACTGTTCTGTTCGAGATTATTGTCTTTGCTGACCAATCACAATCTCTCTAAGCAAGTCACCAACGCCACAAATTACAGTTTAACAGTTTGGTACCCTGCCCGTTCACGTTACCCTTTATCTCTTACGTTTTTACACTCTCTTACATTCGACTGATTCGACGTTGTGTTGGGTCTTTTCTCTGATTAAAACCATCGAGTATTTCTCGTACATTTTTTGTGTAATTGATTCGTAGTCACCTGCCCTTAACATGTTCTTTATTCGGTTATTCCCTATCCCCTATTCCTTGTTCCCTATTCCTTACATTGTGTGCAGCCACAATGCTATAGGTTGAATTACTAAACACAGCCCAACAAAAAAGGACGGTTGGCAATTCTCCCTTTCGCTCATCCCCCTTTCTTCTCGAGTAGAGTAGTCAAGTTCTGGGTAGCGATCATGTAACTTTTTTCTTAGAGCGGAAACGTGAAAAGTTTCATGTAACTATCTTTTTCTATTGGCGTTGAATAAAAAGAGATAAACATTTCACTTTTCACGTTTCCGTTTTAGAGGAAAAGATACATGATCGATCCCCAGATTCTAATTTAGTACATAATTCTCTAAAGTATACGAGTGCTTATACCATTTCAAAAAAATTTCAACCTTCGGTAGCCATGTTTATTCTTAAATATGAGCAACTATAATATGAAAAATAAAAAAATTTTTTTATTAAATGTTTAGTTTACCATATATAATTAATTTTTAATTATATTATTGTATAAATGGCTCACGGAAGATTGAGCGCTACTGTATAATTATTTATTTTTTGATTGTATAATTTGAATGATTAAATTAATGTACGCGTATTATTGTGAAATTAAAAGCAAAATTAAGTCAAACTTAAGATTTTATTAACGAACGTTGTTAATTTTTTCTGATATGATTAACGCATTCTTATTAACGGTTTACTTTAAAACTTTAGTAGTTTTTATTTACTAAAAAATTGTTAATAAATTTGGCAGATCTTTCATTCAAAATTTCGTATTATATCACTATTGGTACAAGTAATATAATTAATTGAGTAAAAATGTGAAAAGGTTCGATGCTAAGACAATGATTATTTACGTATAAAATTTTTACTCGTGAAAGTCGACATTCGCGTCTTAGTTACTATATATGAAATGGCAAATAATTAATAGTTTTGTGAAATTTCGGATTTCAGTTTATCATCCGTTATAAAATTATTATAAAAATCAGAATTTAAAACGTGATATTTTATATTGTTCTCAATAAAACATTTTCGTAAAGTTAATGCAAATATCGTGTTATTTTCACGTTCATGGACGCGATCGCTGCCTCGGTGATAGGGCAGCGATAAGGATGCCTTATCGCTGTCCCTCGCGTCAGGTGGACGCTAATAAATGCGTGGTTTGTAACGATCTTTATCGTAGAGAGTTATTTCTCGTTGGTTTCTATAGGACCCATCTGCGGCGCCTAGATCGGTGTCTCGTTGAATATAAGAGTTTTCGTCACCAGGGTCGAAATTAATTTCGGGTTTTTTTAACGGCTCTCGGAAGCAGTGGTTTCGGCAATGACATTTATTATCACGTAAAGAAATAATTATAGGGAATTCGCGCGCGCGTTGCAACGAGTTTTCTAATTCATATCGGAATTGATTTGAGATTATCGCTTCATTCGTGGCGTATTTTTCAGTTTGATCATTGCCTTACATCAAAGCTTTCTTTATTTTTTCGCTTATTGGCCATTTCCTTTGCGAGTTACGCAAAAATAGTATGAAAATAATTGACATCCTGCTTGATTGAGTAATAAAAGTAATACATTTTATTAACGATCTTTTTTTGGTTGTGATTGCTCGCGTAAATTAAAAATAAAGTAAATTAAAAAAACTTTGAACTAGTTATTTAATAATAAAAAAATGTTACATAATAGCCACATGTTTTATTTTATGAGAATTTCGTTTTATTGTACGCATATACCGAATGTTGCATACATACTTTTATGTCAAAAAGAAAATATTGTATATACAATTTTATTGATCAATTTTGTAAAGTAACTTTTTTAAATATAAGAAAGGACTGCCGATCGGAATCGGCAGGGGCGATGGAGGGCCTCTATAGGTTGACCTGTTTCTAACGGATGTTAGTTAAAACTTAAGATAAAAACTAATATTTAATTTATAACTAAGAAAATGCAAAGTCCAAAATGCATTTAATCGCAATGACATTCGGTACAAGCAGGACAGCATTTAAAAATATTGCTTATATATTAAATCTTTTTGTCGATACTAGTACCAGATTAAATAAAATAAAATTGCGCATTATCAGATGAAACCGTGTAAATTTGCAGATATAGCACGGACGCGCACCAAAATGATGTTTTATCGGCAGTGTCGGAAAATGAACGTAGTACTAATTTCGAAAATGGATGTACTGGCGCTAGTGTACAGGGGCTTTCGACCGTCGACGGTCCCAAGACTCCCACGAGGCACGAAAAAGACCGGGATGGCCAGTTTACTCTACTTAACCTGTGTACATATATTTCAGCATTTTTAGGAATATTAACGAGTGTATAATTATATTAACATGACTACGCCAGTATTAACAAAGAAGCAGCAGAGGCACAGCTTGTCAGCTAAAAAAGGGCCTGTCAAGGGCTTACGGAACATCTTGGCACAGCCTAATTCGAACTTCTGGTATACTTTTACATAATAATGTCAATTTTTGGAGAACTTAGTTTTAATAATTTAATATAATAGCATTATTAAACATTTAATTAAAGACAAACATTTATTTATAAATATTATCAACATTTGAACAAAGATAATTGCAATTTGTACTACTTATTTTTGCAAAATATTTTCTTAGGCCAGTCATCAATGTAAATCAGTATACGGAGTTGACGAAGAACTTAAATACGTAAGTGTGATTTAAGATATGGATACACTTGAAAAATATTGTTTTTAATTGCCATGAAAATGTCTTACAGGATATTACCGTCAATCAAACAGACTAGTAATAGAATTTCTAAACATGTGCTTAAAAATCTGTCAAAAGAAGATCGTACGTTAGCTAGGAGAGAAATGTTAGAAGCGGCATCTCCAAAGCCTGATATATTGTAAGTACTCTATATTCTGTGGCAGCAAACAGTTCGAAATTTATAGCTATTTTGTCTGAATTTCAGGAAATTTATGATTATGGGTATCAATGTAGTTACTCGAGCCTTAGAGAAGGACAATGTATGTTGCGTCTTATTAGACGCTAATGTTGAACCGCCTCTAATAATAAAACATATTGTTACTATGGCGGTGAACAAGAAAATACCTGTTCTTCTACTACCGATTCTGAAAATAGTCACATTAGAAAAAATGGGATTTACCGCAGCAGCTTTTGCTTTAAAGGTAGCGTATAAATATTTTATCACTTTAAAGGTATACATTTCTTAGGTAGATATTTCTT